GTACGTGCTACGGGAAGAAGTGTATTCTGTGCATGTTTTTCTTACTTCTGGTATTCCTACCCTATGCCATACACAAGTAGAATTCTCAATGCAGAAGGAAATGAATGTTTTTGGCAAGAATTGATAACAAAAATATTCGCCCGGTGAAAAAAAATTAGATACTATATACAAACTATATAAAAAAAGTATACATAATATATTACATATACGTGTGTGTAAATATTGCTACTTCTTGCATGTGTACATCCCAAGCCTGTGAAATGGAATTAGTAATTAGTATATAAAGTAAGTAAAGAAATATATTCTGACAAGAAAGCGTACAAACTATAGTATATTAGGTTAGTGACTTTTTACTTTAAATTATACGCAATATTTTTATGAAAGTTTTGAACACAGCTGTGAAGAGTTAATGAGAAAGAAACGAAATATGCATCACTGCGAGACATAACAATGTCAAAAAGTTCCATTTGTCTAAAGGGAAAAATTCAATCAATATATAATTTAAGATATAAAACGAACCAATACCTGTTTATTCATCGTGAATTGATACGATCCCACATGTGTCCGACATTTCGACAATAATCAAAAATGGACGTCACTAAGTCCAGGTTTTAGGAAACTAATTGTACCATGCTCTCTATGCGAGAGGAAATCGTGAAACTTCTGTTCCAGGAACGATAACTGGAAGCGTGAGTCTATGAGCTGAGTAGCGCTTTCAATACAAAAGATTAATGATCCGAAACTGGCTATTGCCCAATTTCCCGATGACCGTGCCAATGCTCGTTCCGGCAACAGAGAGTAACGAACAGTCACATAATAATTATCACGAACGCAATGGCCATGAGATCAGCGCGTTCTTGCTCCATGACAACCACGTGTCATTTTTCTAGAAATCAGCTCAAGTAACACGAAACATCAAGATGAAGCGTGGAAACTTTCTTATGTAATTATTAGAGTTCTGTCATAATATTAACTCCCGGCCAAGAATTCATATGAATTTCTGAATTGTTTGGAAATCGAATAGTATATTTTTAAACAAGTAACTATTATTTATTTATTGATCATAATCCCCTTTACGCAAACCAAATGAACTCGTTACCCGATTCCTATGTGTAAGGGAGGGTGAATGCATCGTATAAAAGAAAATAATACTACATTATTTTAACCTAAGAATGCAAAGAACATATTCAATATTCGAACTTAGGAACCACATTGATTTTCAACATGTGAATTGCCTTATTTCTCGTGAGGAACAGACAATGTTATTACTTAGCGAACAAAGAAAGTCAAACTAAATGACAATACAATTCAAGACAATAATTATTGAAACTATACGTAAAGGTGCATTGCAGGTAAGACCAGGAGACAATTTATTTCACAGAAAAATTCAATAAGATGGTTTGCGCTAGCCAAACAAACATACTCTACTAATAAACATTAAATGAGAACAGGTTTTACTAAGTTGAATATTGATTTGAGAGGGCCCTCCTGTTTTGATAGGGAGCATCACTGAACATAGAACATTGCCAGTCTTGAACATATTCAAGATTCGAACTTACGAACCACAACCATTAAGGTCTTGAACACGCTACAGTTCAAATGCTACAATGCGCACATCCGTCGAGTGGCGAGATCGCCTCTCTGATGTGCATACAATGGCGCCGACCATTTGCCATTATACGCCTTTCTCCATACAAGCGTTCACAATTGAAATAATTCTCAGAGGTTCGTACGACAGAAGGTCTTCATTTATACCCCTGATATTCGATTAATCAATTTAAACGCCCTTGACAAGGCGAAGGAGTAACCCGGCAGCAGCGTTTGGAAAAGAAAAGATGATTGGTGTTCATTCTAGGATGATTTCAGTGTGCTGCATTCGAAACAATTCCTTCAGGCACCGGAATCTTACTGTAGCGTCTCTGACCAAGTGGTTTAGGGTTTGAGCCCCTACGGTGGCGGTATTTCGAAACCAACTAGTTAATTTGTTAGCTAGTTGGAATTCAGACATTCTGTATCTGGAGCATTCTAGCTCTGATCGGTAATTCTCCGTCGTTCTACGATCAATACCAGACGAATGGAGGGTCGGCACTGCAACAAACGGGTCACAGACCACGCTAGAAGTTACCTTCCTCATCCTATACTCTTCCTTCCCCATATATATATATATATATATATATATATATATATATATATATATATATATATATATATATATATATATATATGAGATAGGGTCCAACGGTGGAGGAACACCGCCACCTCCCAGGTTATATCGTGTCCCAACATGTCCTGCACCAAAGAAACTAACATTTGTAAACACAAAATATTTATCAGAATTTTATAACTTATAAAAGAGGTATGGCAAGTAATGAGTGTGTTCAGCCATAAACACAATAACAAGTAATTCAATAAAATTAGAAAAACGTATTGGGATAAATACTTCTACAACAAAAATCTTAACACTTCATTTTATGAAAATGCTTTTCTTCATAAAAACGGGGACTAAATATGAAATATATGAACATTTTGTACATCTTTCTGGAATGTCGCATTAAGTTTTCTTTTCGACCATTTCACCTCATTGGAGACCGGCACTCAAGGAACACACGGTAGATTGGTTGGTGGCTATCTTGGTTCATAAACAGTGGTGAAATATCCAGTTAACAACAAGAATAATGTGAATATTTGTCATGTTCAAGCGCTAGACGTTTACCTACCACTTAATATGCAGTTATCAGATAGTACTATAATTTTATTGCCGTGCCCAAAATTCTGAAAAGGAACATCAACCGAACTCTTCGACATATTGGACCACAAAATGATGTCCAACGTCCAACAACAATAGTTTCGGGAAATTGTTTCATAAAGAATTTGAGCACAACTGACAAATTGTTGTTGTTATTATTAACTAGTATATTAAATTTACGATGTTAAATCCCTTTGTGTTACATGTGCTATTCCGCTCCGCTTGGGCCCAATCTATTTCTCTTCGCCAGAGCCAATGGTATAGTCTACATTTTTTCAGTTATATTGTTCTAGATTCTTAAATACGAACTTCACGAAGATAGTGATACAGATCTCTCTCTCTCTCTCTCTCTCTCTCTCTCTCTCTGTCTCCCTATCTCTCTTCTCTCTCTCCTTCCCTCTCTCTTCTGGGCGTGGGTGTCTTCTTTTTCAAAGTGACCGTGTCTAGCATATTCATATCACGGCCTCAATGATTCGAAAACACTGTTGAAGAGGATACACCATTTATTTAGAAAATATTTTGTTAAATACCTGTATTTATTGTGTTAGTGTCCATATTATTTGTTACACTTCTTAACCCTGTAACCTGTAAGGCATCTAGACAACTCATACGAAATAAATTTCAGAATATACAATTTCATTTGATTACTGATCGCAGTATTTAGTACCAATTTAAAGATGTTACTGTTTTGTAGGTTTCTTTTATATCTTTTCAATATCTTACTTCTTCAGAGCTATCGAAATTAAGTCGTTAACACGTATGAAATTTTACCTAAACTTATCAGAGGAAATAGCGTGGAGTAATAGAATTACTGCAAGTTCTATTATTCAGTGCGCTAAATAATTTACAGGATACTTGATAAGGAGAATAAATCAATTAATTTTCAAAAATGTTTTCTACAGAATACGAATTAAGAAAGTTTTATTCGCGTTCTGTCTAATGAATTTGTCAAACTTTTGACTTTATAAAAAGTGAGGAATGGATGTTTATGTATTTCGTTATCATATTTTCTCACAAAAACATCGTGCAGTTATGTATTAAAAAAATATTATATCATTTTTATATTTATTAATTACTTGATCCCATCAAAGGCAATGTAATATTTTATGCCGCACAATTTAAGTTCTAGATTACGTTTTCGAAGTTCTAATGTGGGGAAAAGTTCTAATGTGTCACTAAGCTTGAACTGGCATCTTGGCCAGTACTTGCGGCCAGTCCTAATTGGATATTTCAACCCACTCTGACATCTTGGCCAGAAATGCTTTCCTCCAAACTTTGCTCCCGAAAGTGATCACAGAAATTAATCTCACGACTGAAAAGCTTTCAAGCTTCTACAAGAGTATGGAAATTTGCATGTACAACCACTAAAGACAAAATTAGTTCACTCATCAAAATAGTGCAGACAGCCACGACGAAATTCAAGATTAACGTAAGAAGGAGATACTTCAGCAAAAGAGGAGGAATAAAAATATTTCATGAGTTGTTGGAAAATACGATGAATGTATGCATTTCAAACGTGCCATTTTAAAATTCGTAATAAAAATTGTAAAAAATACATCGTGTCATTCAGAACTATGTTATGGAACTTTGACCTTAGGATGATTTAATATATTTAATATTCACAGCTTAAACGTCTTAATATAGAATATAATCCTAAAAATACTCACGTTGGATACATTAAGGGAAAATGTCATTGTAATTTTAGATTTATGTTAAAATGAGTAGCCCGCTATTTAAAAATTGAATATTCAAATTTTTAAAATGTATAATTAATTTACATTCACATCCTTGTGATCATATGTCACAGAGTATTAAAAAGAAAAAATTAAGAGTTACCCCTTCTCACCCAGAAATGAATTCAAAATACAAGAGTCGAACTGCTACCAACTGTTCGTAACTCTGATTTAAGCGATTTTTTGGGTTGTTTTTTTACCTCAAAGTTTCAGTCCACTTCATCATTGTAAGAGCTTCAGTATTCACTTCAGAGTTGAGTTAATGTCAAAAGTGTTGGATTTTGAAATTGATATTTTATTTAATTATAAATGACGATGTAAATGCACTATGTTCATGAAAATCCCGCGTTTGGAAGCACAGGCACTCAGTTTTGTTTACTCAATCCTCACACAACAGCACCAACACTAGCACCACCCACCACCTATTACTCTAATTACTCAAACCATCGCCACGACCACTATCGTCACCACTGCAATCACTCTCGTGACGTCAGAGCCCTCGAGACCGCGGCCTGCAGCCTAAACGAATTTCCGAGGAGGAAACCGGGCGCTGCTTTGAGCCGCGAATGGCGGCGACTGGGCGGCCGGCAGGCGGGCGGTGCGTGGGCGGCGGGGCCGGGCGGAGC